GCACGACGGTGTGCCTCTGGCCGCAGCACGGCAATCGGCACCCACAAAAAAAAAGCAGGCCCCCGCAAGGGAGCGGGGGCCTGCGGCGGGTCAGGCGTGGGGTCCTCCTCCTCCTCCTCCTCCTCCTCCTCCTCCTCCTCCTCCTCCTCCTCCTCCTGACTCCGCCAAGTTGCGGAGGGGGGGGTGCTCTCACCGCGCGGCCCCGCTATGAATTGGGAGAACCCTGCAGGGAGGAGGGGCCACCCACCCACGCCGCGCAGGCAGGAAAGGAGTGCAGAATGAGAACAAAGGCTTGCTTCCCTCCTGCCGCGCCCGAGCAGCGACACGAGGATGGAGGGAGGAGGAGGAGGAGGAGGAGGATGAGGAGGAGGAGGAGGAGGAGGAGGAGGAGGAGAGGAGAAAGAGGAGGGAGGAGGGGGAGAGAAGGAGAGGAGGGAGGAGGCGGGTAGGTGGAGGATGAGGAAGAGGGAAGGGAGGAGAAGGAGGAAGGCGGGAGGAGGATGAAGGATGAAGGATAAAGAAAAAGGAGGAGGAGGAGCAGGAGGAGGAGGAGGAGGAGGAAGGTGGAGAGGAGGAAGGAGGGAGAAGGAGGAGGAAGTAGGAGGAGGGAGGAGATGCAGGAGGCAAGAGGGAGGAGGGAGAAAGGACGACAGAGGAAGGAGGGAGGAGAAGGACGCATGAGTGAGGAAGGAGGGAGGAGGAAGAGGAGGAGGAGGAGGAGGAGGAGGAGGTGGAGGAGGATGAGGAGGAAGACGAGGAGGAGGGAAGAAAGGGAGGTTGGAGGGGATAGAACAGGAGGATGAGAGAGGAGGAACATGAGGAGGAGGAGGAGGAGAGAAGACGAAGGAGTGAGAAGGACGGCGGAGATAGGAGGAGGGAGTAGCGAGAATGACGAAGGAGAGAGGGGGAGGAGGAGGTGAGAGGGAAGGATGAGGATGAGGAGGAGGAGGAGGAGGAGGAGGAGGAGGGAGGAAGGGGGGAGGAGGAGAAGAAGGAGGAGAAGGAGGAGGAGGAGGAGGAGGGAGGGAGGGAAGGAGGGAGGAGGGGGGGAGAAGGAGGGAGGACGGAGGAAAGGAAGAAGAAGAAGGGGAGACGGAAGGACATCGAGGAGGACAAGGAAGGAGGAAGGAGAGAGGAAAGGGAAGAAGGGAGGAGAAGGAGGGAGGAGAGGGGAAAGCGAGAGAAGGAAGGAACAGGAGGGAGAAGGAGGGACGAACGGAAGCAGGGAGAAAGAAAAAGGAGGGGAACGACCAGGACCCACCAGAGTCAGCGATCCCCGACGCGTAATTTCTCACGAAGAAGAGGAGAATCAAGAGGCAGCAGCTTATCTGCACAACTTGATGAAGGAGGCTCGCTATGCCCAATGCTGAAAGACGTACGCTAAAAACAACACTAAGAGGCCCGAATGTCGCACATACGCGGGAACCGACAACGACGCGCTGTACCACAAGATCCGCGTACCCCTCACGATCCGCGAGAACGACGTGACGCTCGAAGGAGTGGCCTCATCAGGAGACCTGGAGCGCAAGATCCAAGTCGTCATCGACGAGTTCGAGAACAAGTGTGGTGCAACCCTTCTGATCCGCGTGCAGACCAGGCTGTGCGAAGTCTGCCTTCAAGGGGCTCGTCCCGCCGCCAGCATGGAGATACTTGCCCCTCCTCTCCCCCACGCTCCTCCTCCTCCTCCTCCTCCTCCTCCTTGTCCTCCTCCTCCTCCTCCTCCTCATCCTCCTATCCTCAGTGTGCCCCACAGTTTGCAGTTGTCGGCACGTTCTTAGGCGGCTCGGCGCAGGCCCATGCGACAACGGTCTCGGCAACGTTCGACAGCTCTTGTGTGAAACCGTGTGATGCGTATGCGTGCACAACGCTTGCGGCCCTTCGTGTTTCTCGACAAACGAAACCACAAGCAATTGGCAACTCCAAGCAGCAAATCCGCTTCCACTCATGGGGGCTTTGCAGAAACCATTGACAAGCCGACTGAAACAATAAAACCAAAATGCGCAGCAGTGGCCGGCCGGGTAAACGTCACCACATGTCAAGGGGATGAAGAGGAGGAGGGAAGAAGGGAACTTCGTACTTTGTGTCGACGCGGGGCGTGTGTGCATTGCCGTCATTCCCCTCCCAATGCTTGCGCTCCTCTGCGCGTGGAGGCCTCCGTGCAAGTAGTATTACTTCCCCCAGCTGGACTACAGGCATTCGAATCGTCGATGGTGCGAGTCGCTGTCAGCACAAGGCTCCTTAATACTACATGGCACGAGGGGGGGCGCCACGCTTCACACGAGCTTGAAGCTTCGAACTTGCGCTTGAGCTTCAGAGTGTCGCTGTTTCGCTGCTCGAGCTTCAGCTTCCGATTCCGCGTGCGGGCCGAAGGTGGCGTGAGGAGGCCCAGGGGCGTGCGAAGCGGGAAGCGCCAACCACGACTACCACACATCGTGGCTGCGGGCATTGCCAGATGCTTTCGCGTTGCCGATGTCCTTCAGTGCAATGCTGGTCTGCTTCGGAATGCAGCCGTTTCGCTGCCGGAGCTTCAGCGCATGATTCCGCGCGCGAGCCACCTGTGGTCTGAGGAGGTCCAGGGATGTGCGAATCGCGCAGCGCCAACCTCGACTGCCACAGAACATGGCTTCGTGCACTGCAAATACGCTCGCACTGCAGATGTTGTTCAATGCCGTGTCGGTCTGCTTCGAACGCGCCAACCACGACCACCTCAAAGCAGTTGTGCTTGGATTGCAGAGGTTTTGCCATGCAGGTTTGGTATGGGCATTGCAGTTTTTTCTGCAGAGCAGGTTTGACCTGGGTGGCGTGCTTGGTCTAATCAGTCTGGCCTGAGCTCGGCTGGTCTGGATGGCTGGCTGGTCTGGCTGGTCGACTTCGCTGGTTTCACGTGCTGGTCTTGCTGGCCTGCCTGGCACGATGTTAATGAGCCGCAGGTTGCTGTTGCATTGCAGCGTCCTTGCTACGTGGACAGTCTTGGTCGGGTTGTTGTGGTTGGTCTGGTTGGTCTGCGTAGTCTGGTCTGGGCTTGGCTGCTCTGGATGGCTGGCTGGTCTGGGTGGTAGAGATGGCCGACTTCACTGGCTTCACTTGCTGGTGCTGCTGGGGAGCCTGATCCAAGTGTGTTGCATCGCGGTGGTTGATTTGATTTGCATTGAGTCGAAACGTGTTGGTATGGTTGGTGAGGCTGGTTCGATTGGTCGGCTCAGTCTGGTCGGAGCGTGGCTTGCCTGGATGGCTGGCGGGCCCGTTTGGTCTGTACGGTCTGGTCTGGCCAGCTCGTCTGGCTGGTCTGCCTGGTCTGCTTGGATGATGTGGCGTGCTGGTCTTGCTGGTTTGCCTGGTCCGAAGTTGTGCATCTCAGTTAGTTGTTGCATGTTGTGTCGCACATTGCTGTGCAGTGCAGCTTTGGTCTGGTTGGCGTGGCTGGTCGCGTTGATCCTCGTAGCCTGGTCTGGGCTCGGCTGGTCTGGATGGCTGACTGGTCTGGTTAGTGTCGGTGTGGTCTGGCTGACTCGTCTGGCTGGCTGGTCTAAGTGGCATCAGCAGACATATAAGTTCTTGTGACCCATGGTACAGTAAGGCACTGGACATACGAACTTTTAGCTTTAAGCGACTTGGAATACATCCTCCTCCCTCCTCCTCCTCCTCCTCCTCCTCCTCCTCCTCCTCCTCCTCCTCCTCCTCCTCCTCCTCCTCCTCCTGTTCCTCCTCCTCCTCCTCCTGTTCCTCCTCCTCCTCCCTCCTCCCTCCTCCCACCTCCAGCCCTCCTCCCCCTTCTCCTCATCCCCCACCTTCTCATCATCCCCCTTGCTCCTCGTAGCCAGTTTGGCTCAAGATGCCAGTACCTCAGGGGGGCCAAGTGGATACCGCTGGTACACGACAATCAGAACAGCTCGGTGGTTCGGCAACAAAACTTCGCACGCCGGCGCTGCGCAAGCTCGGGCGCGCATTCCGCACCGCAAGGTGATGCCCAGTGCTGCTCTTCCTCCTTGGCGCAGTGGTGCTGCTCTTGCTCCGTGGCGCAGGGTGCACCAGCCGTGGGTGCCCAGACCAGTTGCAGATCGCCGCCCTACCCAGGAACGGCGCGACGAAGTGCGCGGCGCTTGCGGCCACTAAAAGTATACGGACCATGATCATGAAGCACGTTCGAGGTGCGCTGCAGATTACGCATCCAACGTTGGCAATCCCAACGTAGGGTCTGACCAAGCTGGCACCAGTGATGAGGTGCCTGACATCCATGGCAAGATGCGTGCAGCAGCGCTGAGTTGTTGGTCTTTGGCCAGAATTGAAAGCACACCTCGGAGAGCTCGCCCCTCGGCCGGCCTGTCCTGCACCCATCCTGTCGCAATCGGATACGGCGGCCACTGCGGAGAGGACTCGATCTGCCAGAGCTTGTGAGGATGCCGCGACGAGGGTTCGATCATCGATTCCAGAAGTCGCAGCTCGGAAAGCTAAGGTGGTAAAGTTCAGGCAGCAACTCGACGATGCCGCTGATCTGCTTTTCGTGGTTCGACGCGGTCGGGAAGAAACCAGTGAGGCCAGTGGATCAGCAACCACAGAGTCCCACGATGGATGACTGGAAGCAACAAAAACAGGCTGAGTGGGACGCGGCAGAAGCTGAACGTAAACGGGAATATGAGCGGCCTGTAGCTGCTCCACAACACAAGCCCCCGGTTCCTGCTGCTGCTCACCAGCCTCCTCCAACTGCTCCTCGGCCTCGCGCGCAGGCAAGTGGTTGCAAGTGCGTTCGGAGCTGCGGCGGCTCCAATCGCACCAGGTCTCCCTGACATCGGCACCATGTCTCCAGAGGATCTCAAGACATGGTGGGCCTCCGACACGCAGGGGACCGAACTGCGGGCGCCCATCCGTGCACTAGCAGCTTCTCTGCTCGCTGCTGATCAGGGCGGCGCTCAGATCTTCAATGCTGGCGCAGATGGGGGCCGACACCGTGGAGAGCTTGAACAGATCACGACAGCGT